CCGCGTTATACCAAACATCTGCTCGAACAGCCCCCTCACAAGACGTCGAGGCTGGAGCAGCGCACGAACGTGGAGGTGTGGCGGATCGTGCGGCTGCTCTGCCTGGTGTGTTTCCTGGGAGCCGTCGGGTCTCTGGTATGGAACGCTACCTCCGCGGAGGATCACGTGTACCTCCGCATAGACGTGGGTTCCTGGGGGAACCAGATGAAGGTACGTGCGCGTGGTCCACTCGAAAGTCGGCGGAGACATGCGTGTGTGTCTGTGTCTTAATTGTTAGCATCGACCGCGGTGACCGGCTGCCCAAATGAAAAGACCTCAGTCTCAGTGCGGTTGAAAACAAAAAACGCTCATCAATCCCTCTAACTGGGACCCCGTGAGGGGGCGGCATGGGGGAGGCTAGGTTATTCTCCGGATTAATCACAGAAAAGCGTGCGTGTGTGTATGTTGGTGCGTTTTCATTGGTTGGCATGGACCGCGCTAACCGGCTATTTGCAGCAGTCGTACGCATACCGTTTTTTATCGTCTTCTGGTTCCGGAACACTCATGTGCTCCTGTGCAACTTCTTCTGACCCTTTGGTGTGCTGTTGTTGTTTTTCTGCAGACCACGTTCATCCAGTTCCTGTACCTTTTTCTTCTGCTGGGCAACTTCATCCCGGTGTCGCTGTACGTGTCCATGGGCACGGTCAAGTTTTCCCAGGCGTTCTTCATGAAGCAGGTGGGCTGCCTGGAGGGTTTTTTCCCCGACAGAGAGGGGGCATGTCGCTCGTGGTTGCGGTGGTGACGTGATGATTTTGTTGTTGTTGTTGTTGTTGTTGTTGTGGCAAATCAAATCCGTCGCCTATACACCTAAAACGTTTCTGCCTTTGCAACTCCGTGACGGTAACTCTCTTGTGGTACTCTGTTTTCGGGTGCGTTTCGTGCCTGTGTGGGCGAAGGACCTGGACATGTACCACGAGGACACGGACACGCCGGCGCTGGTGCGGACCATGGCGCTGAACGAGGAGCTGGGGCAGGTGAGCGGCGTGTTGCTGTTGTTGTTGTTGTTGTTGTTGGCTGTCGTTGCTGCTGTGGCGTGTTTTTGTTTTGTTGTTGTGGCTGCTGCTGCTGCTGCTGCTGCTGCTGTTGCCCCATTTTGTCAACCCCTATTGTCACCCACCTCGTATGATAGCAGCGACGATGTGTGGCAAAGGGCACAAACGGCGCTGCTGTGTGCATACTTCGTGTATTTCGTTATTTTTTTGGAGGACATATACAGGTTCGTGGTTTTTAGGTTCATGTGTGAAGCCTGTACGAACTCGAGTCGGCGCCGAGAAAAAAAATGTTTCTCTCCCGCATTTCTTGTGTGCTACTCAAACCTCGATGTAGCTGCTGTCTTGCGCATATATGTACTCCCCAAACCTGAAAAATAATTAATAAAAATAAACACCCCATATCACAATATATGCCCGTATCACAATATATACATGCATAAGGCCATCATGCTGTGCGTGCAGCATTTCAGGGTCCACTCCAGAGAAAGGCGTGAGGGTTTGGCGGCCCATATAGTTGTTCAGATTAGATCCAGATCCACGCAGTGTGGATGGTGGATCATGTTTTCATCGGACCTGGACCCAAAGAGTAAAAATTATATATATATGGGGTGTGTTCATTTAGTTAATTATTTGTTTTTCATGTCTTGGTGATATTAGTAATGATAACAACCACTGCTGCTTCGCACACGCGTCCCCTCTCTCTCGGTGCCGAAAAATCGAAACTACAGGTGTCACACGTGTTTAGCGACAAGACGGGGACTCTAACCCAGAACGTGATGGATTTCCGCAAGTTCAGCGTGGGAGGCGTGTCGTACGGGAGGGGCGTCACAACGATCGCGAGGGCGGTGGCGGCGGAACTGGGTCACGAAATTCCCCAGGAGGATCTGGTGAGACAAAACGAGAGGGAGAGAAACAGGCAGGCAGGCAGGCAGGCAAACACACCGACACAAAGAGAGAGGGGGAGAGAGAGAGAGAGAGAGAGAGAGAGAGAGAGAGAGAGAGAGAGAGAGAGAGAGAGAGAGAGCAATATTTTCTTGTGGTTGTTTCTTCTGTCTTTTTCTGTCTTGGTAAGAAAGATTTCGTTCGCGCAGGCAGCAACAGACGAATCGGTGTTGCCGGCGGTACTGCTGTTCGGTGGTGGTGTTGTTGAGGGTGCTGCTGTTCATGTTGGTGTTGGTGGTGGTGCTGCTGCCGATTGTCGCGTCCGAGTACGCTGCCGCTGCTATGTGGGAACACACACACTTGCTGCTGCTGCTGCTGCTGCTGCTGCTGCTCGGTCTACCTACCCTTGACGTGGGTTCCTTTCCTTCTGCACACCCATCCCGTACAACAGCTTGATCCTGCCGCTATTTCGACCCCCACCCGTTGCCGTCCGTCCTCGTTAATAAAACAGGAAGCCGAGGCGGTGATCGCCAAACAACCCCCCGTACCGCACGTGCGGTTTTATGACCCTCGCCTGCTTGAAGACCTCCAAAGCTCCACAGGTTAGCGCACAAAAAAAAAATGCTGTGCCGTTTTATGCGATGCGGTGGCAAAGGGCAGATTTGATGGGGCGGGGGGGGCGGGGGCGGCACGGGGGTTTCACAGTAAGATTTGAAGGAAGACCTCCAAGGCCCCATCCCAAAGGGAAGCGCGCGGGAAAATATGCCGCACCGTTTCATGCGATGCGGTGTAAAATGGTAAGAAAATTTTTTGGAGGGGACGGCCTGGTTGATTGCCCTTGGCTTTTGGCCCTCCTTGATCGTCGCGGTCCCCCTGTTTCTGTCCACCCTTGCTGGTCTACTGCTTTCCCAATCGCGTCACACCACCACGCTTGCCACTCACCCCTCCCAGGCGAAGAGCAACGTGCCCTGCTTCTCGACTTCTTCCTGGCGCTAGCCGTGTGCCACACGGTCATCCCCGAGCGCGGGCTGTCGTCGAGATCTGGCCGGCGTAGGCGCTGCCGCGGCCCTGGCGGCGGCAGCCGGCATCCGCATCGGAGCAGGAGTCGCGAGCGTAGGCGCACCAACAAGGTTGGTTTGGACGCAAGCACGGGCGGCGTCGACTGCAGCGGCGTCGATAGCAGCTACTTCGACAGCAACGGCGGCGGCGGCGCTAACAGCTGCTACTTTGATAGCAATGGCGGTGGCGGCGGAGGAGGGTGTGACGGCGACGACAGGAAGGCTGATGAGTTTTTGGACTTGGAGCAGCAGCAGCGGCGGCGGCGGGAGCGGCAGCAGCAGCAGCAGCAGCCGGTGGGGAGGGAGCAAAGCCGGCAGACTCGCTACAGCAGCGGGGCGAGGACGGGGGACTTCGTCCAAGACGGAGAGGAGGAGGAGGAGGAGGAGGTTGTGGCAGAGCAGCGTGAACAAGAGGAGCAGGAAGAGGAAGGGCCGGCGAAGCTGTCTGCTTCGAGCCCCGACGACGAGGCGTTGGTGAGATTTGAGAGATCTGGCGTGTTTGGCGGTGGTCTGCGGTTGCGCGCGAACTATCGTATGGTTTTACTCTTCGACCTGCTCTGCCTTTGGAAAAGACGTTTGGGCGGTCGTCGAGATATACGAATTTACCACCCAGCATGGTGTTCCACAGGAGGGCCTTTGGTGTGTTACATGGTTGGACTGAGTGGGCTTGGGTTTCGGGGTGCAGCGTCACGCCACCCCGCAGGGGGTGGGGGGTAGGTGGGTGTGTATCCGGTGCTGTGCCCTGCCACCTGTGGTGGTATTGTTCGCCGTCGTCGTCGTCGTTTCCTTTCGCTGTGCGCGTGTGTGGCTTAAATTTTGGGTTTTGTTCCCGGGTCCCTTGTCAACGACTGAGCCTCCTCCCAGTGGTTAAGGTCGTTGACGATATTTCTCGGTTCATGGCCGCTTTGCGCTCGGGACGTACATCAGCATATGTCAAAAGCAGCAACAGCACCAGCACCGGCAATACTAGCAGTAGCAGTAGCAGCAAGGACAACAGCATCAACCCGAAGCACAGCAGTACCGCTGTAACGACGCCCCCGGTGGAACGCCGATTTTCGTTCAGGTCCTTGGGGCCAGGCACTTCGGGATGGAGTTTCGAGATCGCCTCGACAACAAAGCGTGTGTCAGGCGATCGGGCCCCTTCCTTCGGGGACAGCAGCAGCACCACCAGCAACACCCACTGCGGAGCCCCCCCGCTCCCGGGGAGAAGCCCAAAGGGGAAGAAGGGCGTGACGGCCGAGGTTTCGCCACCGGTGGCGAGGGCGGGTGGCCGCAGGTGGCGGAGCAAGGGTCAAGGTGAACGTGGTGGATGTTGTATTTTTCTCTTGGTGCTTTGGTTTGTGTCATAGCTGCCATCGAGACGGATGCGAGAGCCGCAGGCGAGGTGTCTGTTTGTGTGTGTTTAGGGTCTACCCAGGTGCTTAGAACAAGCGGTGGGTGACCTTCGGTTGAGGGGGCGGTGGTCGGTCCCAGCCGTGCTGTCCCACCTCCTCGTTGTCTAAAGGGTCGTTTTGTTCCCGTGTGTGTGCTTTTTGTTTGTTTGTCGAGAGAAGCTCTAGCTCTGCACACGCTGCCTATCTTTCTTGCGTCCTTGTGTCAACGACGTTTTTTTTCGCGACGGGCCTCTTTCTGACGCTTGTTGGGTGTCGTGAGCTTCGTTCTGTTTCTGTGTGTTTCTTTTATTTCTCGAGAAGCAGTCGTAACGATGCCTGCCTGCCTGCCTGCCTGTCTTATATATGTGTTGTGTCTTTGACCTGCCCTTCAGGCCGGGCGGGGACCGATTCGTGGACGAGAAGTACGAGGTGCTGCGAATCCTGGACTTCACGAGCGCGAGGAAACGCATGAGCGTAATCGTCCGCGCCCCTGACGGGTGAGACATGTGACACGGCGGTGCATCTTCCCCCTCCTCCTATTATACCCTGCTGGCGGCGCGGGCGCCTGCGTGGGTGACGCGGCTTGGGCGGCTTGGGTGTGCTCTCGGGGAACGCCTGATGAGATAGATTCGTGTCCTTTGCTCTGTTGTGTGTTTTTTTTGTCTTCTCCCTTTTTCTTCTTGTTTCTTGTGCTTGGTCTTGTTGGTGGTGGCGCTGTATTTTTTTGTTCTGCTGCTCCTGCTGCTGCTGCTCCTGCTGCTGCTGCTGCTGCTGCTAAAGCGTGCATCGCAGTGCACCACAAAAACCTTCTCGTTGTACACACACCGCGACCTTGTCTTTTTCACGTGCCCCCGTACAAGGCCATAATCTGCCTCGTCCGACGGCAGTAGTAGTACCGTCGATGTGAATCAGGGGCTTCGTGGTTGACGTACCCCCCCCCCTCCCCCCCGCTCCCTTTTTCGTGCAAATGTTTTGCGGGTGCTCGCGCGCGAGATTCGATTGAAACATTGAAACCACCACATTTTACAGGCTCTTTTCTCGCTGCTCGATCTTCTTCCTCCTCATCCTTTCCCGAGCAGAAGGGTTCGCATCCTGTGCAAGGGCGCCGACTCCGTCATGATCCCCAGGCTCGCGAGGAACTCTTCAGCCTCCGACTCCTCGGCGGGGGACAGCGTGCCGGATGACCACCACCACCACCTGGACGCCAGCAACCCGTTACCCTTCGGCGCCGCCTTTGGCCCCGCCGCCACCGCTATTCCTGCCCCTACGACCGTCGCCCCCGCCCCCGCTCCGGGCGGTAAGACATTACCGGCGGCCTCTCCGCAAGAAGGAGCCGCCCAAGCTGTGTCGCCGGCATCCGACGCCGCCGTCAACGCCGCCGCCGCGGTGCGGTTGCCGCTTGCTGATGTGGTCGCGGAGGAGTGCGGTGGTGGAGGGGGTGGGCTGGCTGGAAATTGGAGTACGAGCAGCGAGGTGACGGACGGGGTGACGAGGGAGATGTTTTGTGTGTGTGTGTGTTTTGTTCGTTTTGTTTGTTTTTGGACATACTGCCCCTTCGGGAAACACCGCTTCCATGTCGACGACTCGCACTACTTCATTCTTGTATGCATAAGACCCCATGTCCTTTTTTTGACGTTTTAATTTATTTTTCGGCGAGTCTTTTATTTTTTGTGTGTTTCATTTTTTTTTTTTTTTTTTGGCCATACGGCCTCTCAGGAAAACACTGCTTCCATGTCAACGACTCGCGCGCTTGTAGTACGACCTATTTATTTTTTCCATGTCTTTTTTTTCTCTTTTTTTGCTACTTCGTCGGTGGGGGGGTCACCAACACACACGACAGGACAATCGCCCTGGGGGGGAGAGGAGCGAAGAGCGCACGCTGAAGCACATGGAGACCTACGCCAGGGAGGGGCTGCGCACGCTGCTCGTGACCTGCGCGGACCTCGACGGGGACTGGTTCCGTGCGTGGGACAAGAGGTGCGGTTTCGTTGTCGTTATTGTTGTGGCTGTTGTGGCTGCTGTTGCCGTTGCTGCTGCTGTTGCCGTTGTTGTTACTGTTGTTGCAGAACCAAACCGACACGTTTTCTTTCTCTTTTTTTCTCGGGAGAGGGCGGAGAGTGTGTGTGTTGGGAAGAGATGGGTTGCTGTTTCCGCAGGCAGTACAAGCACTTCGCTTGAAACCCGTAAGCATCAAGCCACACGCATCGGCTCCAAACACGACCCCCTTCTCCCTCTCCTCCCTTGTTGTGGTTGCGTGTGATCCTCGTCCGACTCCCGTGCGAAACTGTCGAAAGGTTTGAGACCGCGAGCACCGACCTGTCCGAGGTGGAGAAGAAGAAACAAGGCCTCGAGAATGAAATTGACAGGCTCATGAACGAGGCAAGGCTGGCCATCGATACACTACCGCTGTTGCCCGTTGCCGTGGCTGGTTAGGGCTTTTTGTTTTGTTTTATGGTGTTGTTGTTGCTCCTCTTGACGCATGCAGGTTACCTTGTTAAACGTTCACTGCTCTTGAAGTGTGTTGCGCCCCGAGCGAGGGCAACACGAGCTTTCTCAAGAGCTGGGGAAACGAACGCCCCCCCCCACGAAAGATCGTTTTTAAAAGAGAACATTCTTGCTGGATTGCTTTTTTCACTGTCCCAATAAGCGTCTAAAAGAAGAAAAAAAAAGTGCCTTCTTCCTCGTTGACATCGACGCCGCCCGTCGCGTGGAGAGAACACGGGGGCACCGCACGTACAGTACTGCATGTTTCCCTTCTATTTTTTTTCGCGGCTATTGTGTTGATGTGTTGTAGAAGATTTATCCGACGGTGGTATCTCAATGACCAAAACAATAAGGGCGAAACCGCAATGTTCTTTTAAGTACTTGAACGAACAGTAAAATTCTTTGTTCCTTTTCCCAATTACCGATAAATGATTGACTTCAAACAATAAGGCGAAACAATGTTCTGGAGTACTTGAACGAACAGTAAAATTCTTTGTTCCTTTTCCCAATTACCGATAAATGATTGACTTCAAACAATAAGGCGAAACAATGTTCTCGAGTACTTGAATGAACAGTAAAATTCTTCGTCCCTTTTCCCAGTTACTGATAAATGCATATTTTTTTTTCACCTCTGTTGTGTTTGTTTTTCTTGAAGGTCGAGAAAAACTTGCGGCTGCTGGGGTGCACCGCTATCGAGGACAAACTGCAAGACGGAGTCGGCACCTGCGTTGACGCCCTCCAGCGCGCAAGGGTAAAAGTGTGGATGCTTACGGGTGACAAGGAGGAGACGGCCATCAATATAGGCGTGGCCTGCCAGCTGCTTGGTCCGGAGGAGCAGATGGAGAGGATCATCGTCAACATGGACCCACAGGTCCGTTCGTGTATACAACGGGCGTTGGGAAATCGTCGTTGGTCTTTTCCTGTGGTTGTTGTTGTTGTTGTTGTTGTTGTTGTTGTTGGTGGTGGTGGTGGTGGTGGTGGTGGTGGCGTGTGTAACTGCTGCTGTTCTTCGTCGGTGTTGGCGGTGATGGCAGTGTTGCCGCTGGTGCTGGTGCCGGTGCCGGTGCTGCAGTGCTAGCACAGGAGCTTCTCCCCTCTCCGCGTCTTAACTTCCCGCGGTAGAATCAACCTCCCCCCGTTGTTGTTGTTGTCGTCGTCGTCGTCAGATGTCAGGCTAAGCCTCCTCAAACACTGCGGCTGTGCTCGACACGCGACCTTTCCCCCACCCCGACGATGTCCCGCGTCCCTCCCCTCCCCTCCTAACGTCGGTGTCGTCGTGTTGGAGCAGACTGGCTGCCAGGACGTGGAAGAAGTCAAGGACCGACTGGAGGACGAACTCAACCGGATTTCGGTGAGGGGATGTAGTGACTCATGGCGTTCGGCAATTACTCTCGTAGAAAGGTTCTACTGCTGTAGTCTACGGGAGTAGTCCCGTCCCGATTCTTCCCTGGGTACAACGGAAAGCAAGGCTGTGAAAATATGCTCGTGACGAATTTGACCATGGCTTGTTGGGTCGAATAGTGAGAAGAGCGTGTTGCATGGATATCCTCGTCCGTGAAGGAAGTACAAGTACTACTTTTACCTTTTTTTTTTCTAGTTGATGGCCATGGCCTTATCAGGGCTCTGTCTCCAACACGCCCCGGTCACCCCAGGCCAACTCCACCCCACGTGGCACCGCCGCTTACCACCACCACCACCACCACCACCACCACCGAAGAAATTTCGCAGACCATCACCACTACCAACAACAACACCATCAACCACGTGCACACCACCAACAAACACCACCACCAGCAGCAGCAGCAATCACACCGTGGGACCAAATCGCACCCCATTTACCAACACATTCGATCAAGCACACAGCACTACCGCCGCCACCACCACCACCACCACCATCGCCACCGACGTAACCCCCTCGCCGGCCGGCTCCCACTCGATCGTGCCCATCCCTCCAGGACGAAGACCCGTTTCACAAGTCTCGCGGCAAGGGCAGCGGGGGCACCGGCGATGGCGGCACCGGCGAGGATGGTGGGGGGGTGCCCCGCAAGGGAGGCCGTCAGCGGGCGCTGATTATCGACGGGCAGGCGCTGTCGCTCGCGATGGACCCAGCCTGCAGCAAGTACTTCGCCGAGCTGGCCATGGAGTGCGAGGCCGTGGTGTGCTGCAGGGTGTCGCCGGACCAAAAGCGAGCGGTATGTTGTCGTTGGTACTACTGTCGTTGTTGTTTGCGGGAGAGGAACGTGTTTTTTTGGGTATCATGCGGCGTGCCCCGCGGTTGTCGAGGGGGGGGAGGGGGGGGATGCGCAGGGGATGGCGGGATTGGCACGTTGGCGTTTCGGGGAGGAGTGTTATGCTGAACATCCGTGCCTTCCTGATCCTTGACGATTTTCATGTTTTTGTCTTTGGCTCTCGACCTACGTCCTATGTAGGACTTGACTCGACCCCCCCCCCCCAAACGGACGTGATGCGTAATAAGGAAACCCTTTCGTCTGAACGGGTTCACCCTCGGCCTTGTTGTACTTGTAAATAGAGCTCAACCAAGATACACTCTTGCGATGGGCCGCTCGCTGTCTTGTGGGATGCACCGCGGCATCAACAACAACAACTGCGGGACGTCCACAGACAAGAACATACCACGCCCTTTCCTTGCGCCCCCCGCCCACTCCGGTGCTTCAGGTGGTTGCTCTGGTTCGCGAGCGGAGGCCCGAAGCGCGGACTCTGGCGATCGGTGACGGCGCCAACGACGTGGCGATGATCCAGGCGGCTCACATCGGTGTCGGGATCAGCGGCCAGGAGGGCATGCAGGTGACGGCTGAAGACTGAACAGAAGAGTCAAGAGTCAAGAGTAAAGAGTCAAGGGGAGTGAAAACAGGGATTGGGCGGCTTCCCCCCCCCCCCCCCCCCCCCCCCCCCCCCCCCCCTCTCTTTTTTCTCCCTGTTTTCGGTTCGATGCGTGCACAATCACTGCCTGTATCGCGTCTTTGCTTGTGCGGTTGGTCGTTTTCCTCTCTCTCTCTCTCTCTCTCTCTCTCTCTCTCTCTCTCTCTCTCTCTCTCTCTCCAGTATTCGCGCGGAAGGCGGAGGCGGGGGGGGGGCTAGCTCGGCGGCGCGGAGGGGGGCAGGGGGTGCCCGGCAAAGCGGCATCGTTTCCCAGGTGTGTGACGTGCAAATGGCGGTGCTGGTATGGCAATTATTGGTGTGGAGATCCCTTTCATCAAGGGTACAACATCCCCCCAACGTTTGTCGACTCCCTTTTTCTACCGTAGTTCTGCAACAATCGGGAAGGTAAAGATAGTGGCTCTCTAGCGTTCTCGGCTCGGCTTGGTTTTGTGGTTTGTTTTTGTGGTTGGCATTGGGCTTTGTTGGGGCTGGGGTTGTGTTGTTCTGGCAGGTACGGTTCACGTGAGCCAGGCTGGGAGGTAATAGCAGTAAAATAGGCTGTGAGCTGGACCGGGTTGGTTCGGCTAGGTGCCGTTTGGCTGGGTCTGGAGTTTGGTACCAAGCACGTGACGCGTGGAAGCCCAAAGACGGACATCAGAGGTACACCAAATCGCTTGGGTACTTGTGTTGGTGGTGTTTAATTTGAACACGCTTCTGGCGGAGTCGTGCGCGAAGCGGCTACGTTTCTCAGGTGGAATCGCTTGGATTGGCTAGAACGTCAAATGTTATGTTTGTTTTGTTGTGCCAAAGTTGTGTTGTTGCTCGTCGGCGATATGCATTCACGTCGATGGTAGACACCCCCTCTCTGTTTTCGTGGTAGGGACGACCCAAATGGTGTATACTCATTTATCGAGACGTACTCGTGAACCATTTCCACGATGATATGCCAATCAAGAGAGACGTGTTACTTTACATTTTCGCGTAGATGCTTCGACGTTAGGGGCGTCATCTTTTGTGTGTGTGTGTGTGTTTTTTTTGTTTGTTTCTTCTCGTTTCCTTGTTGCGCGCAAACTCAAATATCAACGATGTCGAAAACAGTCTGTCGGGGCTCAGTTCAAGAACCAGCTCAACAGCCTGCTGGGGGCCATCGGGGAGACTCACCCCCACTACGTTCGCTGCCTCAAGCCGAACGACGAGAACGTGCGGTCGCAGTTCGATCTCGGCAGGATCACGGCGCAGCTGGCGAACGGAGGTATGCGTATGGTTCGTTATTTGTTGTTGCTGTTGATGTCGTGTCGTGTCGTGTCGTTTCGTTGTTGTAGTAAATAGGAGCATTTGGCGGTGTTTTCGTTCAGTGCACTTTCTTCACGGGCGGCACTAAATACCAACCATGACCGTTTTTTCCTCTAGGCGTGTGCCCCCCCCCTCGCGCACTCGATCAATGCCATCCATGCCACATCAATTTCGTTTGTGAGTACGTTTGTCCCTACGCACACTGATCTGCACTCCGCTCCGCGCTTGAGAGGGCACCCCCCCCCCC